AATTCTTTTTTTCTAGTTTTAATTTATTGTTTGTTTGGTTTTTTGTTTTTGTTTTTGGTTCAAAACTTTGTTGGCCTCCACAGTAGCAGGAGGGCAAAGTGGCTCCAGCGCCGTCTCTCCTCTGTTCGTCCTTGAGATATGTCCAGGGCTGAGCTTACGCAGGGTCCAGCCAAGACTTGAGGGAGGTCTCGTGGGAGCAGTGGCCACCACAGTGCCCTCTCAGATGGGGACCACAGGTCATGGCACTGTCCCCGCCACACGGACCCTGATGGGGACGCCACCTCGAGGAACCCCACCACTCTGGGGTGCGTGTGTGTATGCATGTGTGTGGGGGAGAGGAAGAGGCATCTGCCAGTATCAGAGGGGCATGGGGGTGCGGGGAGTGAGGTGAGTTCTCTTTTTGGTTTCTGGACAATGTCAAAGAACGTGAAGGATTCCCACGGATAGGCACTGGAATATGAATTTTTTTTTTCAGGGAAACTGACAGACAAGGATGGAAAAAAAGACAACTTGAAAGCCCTCACCTCATCCCCTCTTACCTGGAACTTCCACCTTCCCATGGGCTGGGGAGGGGGAGATCCCAGAGCGGAGGATGACGGGCCGAGGGGGGACGTATGAGATAGAACTTGGCAAAATGGCCTAGCCCACCCTTTAAAGGAAAAGGGGAGGTACAGGGGTGGAAAGTCATTCTAGGCCTTCCCCTGCACTCTCCCCTGGCTGGGAGAGGAAGGAGGTTAAAGCAAGACCCCCCGCCCTGGTGGGGTGAGCTGGAGGCCAGGGGAGAGGGGGACGCATGGTAGGGACACATTCCATTGAGCTCAACACTAAAAATTCTGTACATCCTTTGGATGAAGCTACTGAATATTTGGTGTAGGTTGTTCAGGCCCTTTCTCTTTCACCTTCTGGAAAAGAACATTTGCTGGGTGGTTCTAAGCCCACCCCTCTGCCCCAGGCTGTGCCTCGTCTTCGCTGGCCCAGGACTGGGGGCTGGGGCTAGGAGGCTGGCACATTCTCTTTTTCCTTCTCTGGCTCCCGGTGGGGGAGGCAAAGTTGGGGGTTGGCCCCACAGCCAGGGGCTCGGTGAGGTCCGCCCTGTGAGGCTTCTCGGCCCCTGGCAGGGAGTTCTTATTTGGTGTCGTAGCCGTGAGGGTGAGCACACTGAGGTCTGGTTTGCAACTGGTTTTTGGTTTTGCAGGGGATTTTTTGTCTGTTTTTGGTTTTTTGTTTGTTTTTCACCTCTGGTTTCTTTGGGGCAGCTGGTTTCTGTTGTGATTATTTTTGGTTTTCTTTTTTGTTGGTTTCCTTTCTTCTTTTTTTTTTTTTGGTTGGTTAGTTTTTTTGGTCTTTCTCCCTTGTCACTCCTTCTCCGAGGACCCTCTGCACCCCCACCGCTGGCCTCCTTGCCCTCTTCCAGGCGAAGGACCGAGGTGGGGGCAGAGGGGTAGGAGGGGAGGCGTGGCGGGCCCTCACTCGGGCTTGGACCCTGCCTCCGGCCCCCCTGGGCCTCCAGGGGTCTGTGCTGCGGCCTCGCTGCAAGTGGAGGAGGAGGACGAGGAGGAGGAGGACGAGGAGAGGCCAGGAGACTTGCTGGAGATGGAGGCTGCCACAGCTGCAGCAGCTGCCGAGACCAGGCCCACGCCAGGCGGGGCACTGAGCAGGGGCAGCCCAGCATGGTTCAAGAAGAGTGGCGAGGTCACCAGGCCAGGGCTTCCCGGGGCGGCACCAGCTGCCCCCAGCACCAGGTTCCCACTGCTGTCAAGGCTGGTAAGGGGCAGGGTTCCACCAGAGGCCAGGGCTGGCAGGGAGAGAGAGAGGCTGGGCTGCAGGTGCCTTCCAGCGTCCTGCCCGCAGAGCCCTGTCTTCCCATTGGCCCCACAGACCCCCATCAGCAACCCTCACACCTTCCCCAAAGGGGAGATGGGTAAGAAGAGGCAAGCGATGCAGTGAGCAGGGGCAGGATGGCATGGCTGGAGCAGCAATGGGTGGGTGGGGGGCTTATGGCCCCTGGGGGACAGGGCTAGTGACGATGGGAGTGACATGAGGCAGCACGCACCTTGGATAGTGGCCAAAGGGTTGTTGCTCATGAGGGCTGGACTCAGCCCGGAGCTCAACCCCACCATTGTGCTTCTGCAAGAGGCAAAGCAGAGGCATTAGCAGGAGCGGAGACCCGCTGGCGGAACTGGGGCTCAGCTCCCCACCCTGGAAGCAGCAGCGACTCGCTTCTCCCACAGCCTCCCACCTGCAGCTGCCCACTTACCCCGCGCTGGGGTTCAGGCCCGACAAGCCGATAGCCGAGTGGCTGCCTTGAGGGCTGGGATTTGTGCTGTTGGTGGTAGCCGGGGGTGGGGGAGTGACAGAGGGGATGGAATTGAGGGGGGGCGCAGCCCCGCCCCCGCCCCCTCCGACTGTCCGGCTGGGGTGGAGCGTCCCCACAGCTGAGGATAAGGTAGTAACTGCCAGAGAGACACAGAGAGGGAGATTTCAGCTTCCGCACGCCCCCCTGCCAGGAACCCGAGGTCGGCTCCTGCCTTCTCCCTACCCAGCCTGAGCCGACTCAGGTCTCCTGCCCTCTTCCCAGCGCCATTTCTCTGTGTCTCTGTCACAGTGACAGCAATCACTGCCATCGCAGTAAGAGCAGCTTTCACCCACTGAGCCTGTGCCCTGTGCCCAGTATACGCTAGCACTCCATGCACCCTGTCCTGGACCTCACCCCCCAACACATACTCTACTCCTTTCATATGGGCAAGAACTGGGGACAAAGCGCTATGGCTCCCTCTAGGGGCCAGGCGGGAGGCTGCGGCTGCGCATGCACAGCGATGGGCTCAGGAATTGGCAGGGTGAGAGGTCTCAGAGCCTACTCAGGCCTGACAGCCAGAGCAGCAATTCCTGGCTCTGTCATGTCCCAGCTGCGCCCTTGGAGGGCCTTCAGTTTCCTCATCTGGAAAATGGGGATCATAACAGAACTCGCCTCATGAAATACGCATGAGGATTAAATGAGTCAATATTCTTTATAAAGTGTTTAAACAGTGCCAGGCACACCATTACTGCTTTATAAACCTCCACTTCTTAACCTGGAGAGGGGCGATATGGTGTTGGTTTTACATTATTCTTACATATGGTGTTAAACACGCTCCATCCCGGGAAGGGAGAAAAGAGGGCTTTGTACAAAAGAATGTGTGTGTGTGCGTGTGTGTCACACTTGTATGTACATATGCATGTATGTCACCTCTGAATGTATTATGTTCTCAATAATCTTATAAAAACTGAGGCCTAGAAAAGTAAGTTACTTCTGGAGTTCGCGGTTTACAAATACCAGGAACACAACCTAAGTCCATCATCGCCTCTCGGCACCTCCACACTCTTCTCATGGGAAACGGTGGAAAAGATGAAAGCGAGCGGCTCTGGCCAGGAGGGGTGAGGCGGCCCTTTCCCCTGTGCCTCCCCCGCCCGGCCCTGCACCCCCCGGCTCAGTCTTGAGGCGCACGGGTAACCCGAGCCACTTGAGACATTCGGGCTGAGGCCTGCACTGTGTTCTCCACCCCGACCCCCCACCATCTTCTGCTCTCCCGGACCTGTTGTGCTCAGACTGCTGGAGGCTTGGGACAGCGGCAAGGTCCCGGCACCCCCTTGGGGTGTGACCTGGGGAGAGAGGAGAGAAGGCATGGTTGGACCCCCGTGCTGCTCCCTGTGGGTATGACCCCCAGGACAGGTGAGGGGGACTCTGGGTGCAAGACTCTGTTTATATTGTGCCAGGTGCTTTCCACTACATCCTTCTTCACATGCGCCCTAGGTGATCCTCAGCCACCAGCAGGAGCGAGTACTTCCTAATCAAGGGGCTCCCCTCTCTGACATTATCTAGTTGCAGGTCCGAAGTGTGAGTGTGAGGTGGGGGGAGGAGAATGAGGAAAAGCTGTGTGTCTGTGTGAGAGCGTTGGGATGTCAAATGGTTTGATTTTCTGGGAACGTCCACCAGCCTCCTCCTTGGCTTCCCTGCCTTCAGTCTTATCCTCCCATCAGCGCCAGAAAACCTCACTCTAATGTGACTCTGTCTCTCCCTGGCTCAAAATTCCCCCTTAGCTCCTCACTGCACAAGTTCAAGTTCAAACTCCTCAGCATGTAATTTGAGTATCTGTCCCCAGCCCGCCCCACCCCCGCACTCATTCATATACATTCTGGCTCCAGCCGCACTGAACTGTATGGAGTTCCTCAAATAGGGCTTGACACGCTCTGGCTTCTAGGCCTGGTGCACCCCGGTCCCTTCGCCTGTCCTTCATGTAGCTAGCTAACTTTTGTCCTTTATGACTCAGCTTAGATGGTGCCTCCTTCCTCCACATCTTGGCAGCGGTGGGGGTGGGGTGGGGAGGGCTCCTCTGGGCCCCTGGTTCCTCTCTATAGTGTCACAGCCCTTTCCACACTAGACAGAACAAAGGGATGTCCTGGTGTGTCTGAGCCTGAGCGGGTCTGTGTGGCCGTGGACCTGAGTGCACACCCAAGGGTGTCATGATGTCCCTGCCTGTGTCTGTGGCTGTGAACCTGTGTGTGGAGGGTGCCTACATCCCTATCCAGTATCCATCCTTGAGTGACTACATCCTGTGACAACTCTGTTTGGCTATGTTGGTGTGTTTGTGGGTGCCTGTATCCCTGACATAAGGCCATGGTTCCCTGTTAACTGTGTCCTTGTGTGACAATGCTCCACCCATGTGACAACCTGTCTCCAAGGGTGACTCTGTCTGCCTCTGTTCTAGGCACTGTGGACAAACAGGTAGATCGTGCCTCACACAAGGTGCCTGTTGAGGGGAGAGGGAGGTGACGAAACTCTGCCCCCACCCCTGGAAGGGCTCTGGTACCAGATGGGGGCTGTAGCTGGCGGGCTTCCCGGGGCTGGGAAGCATGGGGGCCGCGCTGCAGGGGTTGATGCGTTTCTCCTTCTGGCGCCGGTTGCAGAACCAGACGCGGATCACTTCCTTCTCCATGTGCAGCTGCTCTGCGATCAGCAGGATCTCCTCTGAGGTAGGCTTCTGGTTCTGCAGGCACAAGGCTGGTTAGCTGGGCCCCCTCGCCACGTCCCTCCTCCGAGCCCGGGGGTGGGGCGGCGGAAGGAGGGCTCACCGCTAGAAAACTCTTCTCTAAGGCGAAGCGGACGTTTGTCTCGATGCTGGTCCTCTTCTTGCGTCTCCGGCCGGGGAGCCCGTCGAAACCCAGGTTGGGGCTGCTCAGCTGGTTGGGGCTGGGCAGGCTGGAGTCCACAGACATAGTCTCTGTGCCCAAGAGGAGATGGGGGCATGAGAGGGCGCCTCCCGTGGCCCGCCACCCGCCGCCTGCCCGGGAGCCCCAGCCCAGTCCCACCTGCGTCATTGAGCCACTTCTCCAGGAGGGGCTTGAGTTTGCACATGTTCTTGAAGCTCAGATTGAGGGCCTCGAAGCGGGAGATGGTCGTCTGGCTGAAGTCGTTGCCGTAGAGCTTGCCCATGGCCAGGCCGACGTCACCCTGGGCCAGGGAGCGGGGGAGAGGGCGGTGGTCAGGGTGGGACCTTTGGGTTCTGGCTCGCCCGGCCCACTAGCCAGCTCTGTCCTCTCCAGAGCTCGGTCTTCCCACACCCCTCCGTCCCCTCTACACCCCTCCGTCCTCCACCCTTTCCGCTGCTGGCCCCAGACCTGCGTGAAGCCCAGCTTGATACGGCGCTGCTTGAAGGTGCGGGCGAACTGCTCCAGCTCTTCCAGGTCGCTGGGCTCCTCGGGGTGGGATGGTGGCTCCAAGCATTTGGGGGGCTGCGGGTGCGAGAGGTGCGGGTCGGGCAGCGTGGGGCGGGTCACGGCCTGGTGGGGCGGGCAGGTGGGCAGGATGCAGGACGGAGGACCAGCATGGGGCTCAGCAATAGCTGAGCAGCCCACTCTCCCTCCCTTCCTGCCGCCCAGCCTCTTCCTGGAGACTCCGCCTGCCCTCAGGAGGCCCCAGTCAGTCCCCATCAAGATTACTCTGCCGCCCTACATGGGGCCTCTCACTACTGGGATTCTGCACATTCCTTTCCAGGCTGCGCGCTTCCAGAAGGAGCTCCGGCCTCCTGCGCCAAGGCTCTTTCTCTGGAGCTAGGGGCTGCGGCTGAATCCTCCTCTCCGGTGAGATCAAGGGCTGACACCACTACCGAAATTGCTGGGTGACTCTGGCAAGCCTCTCAACCTCCCTGGGCCTCAGTTTCCCCCTCTGCAGGATAGAAACAATCACACCCACTCTGCCCACCCCGTGGGATTGTCGGAGAACTTGGTTAAAAATGGTAGGTTGCAAATAAAGTAAAAGTATTTAAAAATAATAGATGAGAAGAGCAACTGGGGGGATTTACAAAGAAGAAACAGCTCTCTCTGGAATGCTTCATTTCCCTAAAAATAAAAGACCTGAAATAGGTGGCGGATGCAGGGATGCTAGCCACGCAGGTCCCTGATTCATCATCCAAAACCATGGGGCCAGAAGCTTTTGGAATTCAGAAATTTTTCAGATTTTGGAAAGCCTACAGGGGGCATATATGATAGATGATTTGACACCCCCACCACCACCACCAGGGTCGAGGCATCACCCCATAAATGAACAAACATTAAAAGCTCTCAGCAAAGTCCAAATCACACAAGGAGGATAAAGAAAAGTCACACGCTGCCTCCTATCAGACCAAGGCAGCTTTTGCAGCCAGGTGACTTCTGGTGCCCACAGTAAAAGAACTTGAGTTTCCGGACATTTTTGGATTTCAGAATCGCAGCTAAGCCCTCCATTAGTCTTTCAACTTCTCAGGTTTTCTAAATAGTTCATATACATTTTGAAAGGGCTGTTAAAAAACATGGGTAGGAGGGATCTTTGAAATCCATAAAGGATTGTGAAAGATTATTCTGAAAAGTCTAGAAGGCAGGCAGCAAACCTAGAGGGGCCATGGGGGCCAGGCTGAGGCGCCCCGGAGAGCTCACACCTTGCCAGAGGGATCCCTGCTCCAGCCAGCAGCCAGCTGCCCACTGCCGCCAAGCCATGTGGATGCAGATCCGGCTTTGCCAGAGCTTCTGGTTTGTCAAGAGAAATTGGGAATTTGGCGTTTTCTGGGAATTTTGTTGTCAACGAATTCAATTTTTAAAATACCGTTTGGGCTGAATAAAACACATCCGTCCCCCCCACCCCGTCCCGTTTGCAGTATCTGGCCTGGGAAGAAGGTGTGAATCAGGACCCAGCAGAACCCTCCTTGGAGAGCCTTCCCTTTGGAGTCCCAGAGGAGACCCAAGGCACTCAAACTTAACGACTTTCGACCCCCAAAATATCTTCTGTTTGTGCACAGGTGCCTTTTGGGGTAGTGGGGTCAGACCCAAATCTTCCATCACATTCTCAAAGGCATCCACGTGCCTGAAAGGGTTAAGAACCGCTGGTCTAGCTGACTCCCCTGGTTCTACAGAGGAAGAAGCTCATCCAGAGTGGCCTGCCTGAGGTTCCACAGCAAACTAGTGACAGGGCAGAGCTGGGCCCCAGGTCTCCAGACTCCTCTCCTGCCCCCTGCGGCTGTGAGGTGGGCCAAATGAAGAGGAGACGCCCCAACCCCGACTCCACCCTTCTCCAGCCAGCCTTCCGCAGGCCCTGCTGACGATCCAGCATGACATACTCGGTGGACACTCACCTGTGTGGGCAGCCCGGCCCGGGGCTGGGAGGTCAGAAGAGCTCCCTGGGTTTGCTGAGGTAGCTGGAATAGATTTGGCGTCGGTAGCAGGCCTGGGGAGACAATGGGGAACACGTGGGGTGAGGTGGAGGGGGAGTTCTGTAGTGGCAGCTGGGAGGCCATCAGGATGGGACCTTACCTGGCTGACTCTGCTGGGCCTGTGGCAGCAGGAACTGAGCAGGTGGCTGGAGGTGGTGACCCGGCACAAGCACCAGCTGCTGGAGCTGGAGGAGCTGCTGTATGTCCTGCCAGGAAGGGGGATGGACAGAAAGACAGCCTGAGTCCCTCTGCCTCACCTAAGCCCCAGGGGGTGCTGCACAGGTGGCCTGGCACTGGGTAGTGAGGGACGGAGCACCTGTTTCTGGACTGCATTCCTGAGCTAAGGGCGCCCGGAGGCTTCTGGAGCGTCCTACCTGGGCTGTCCAAGAGGGCTCACTCTTTATTTACCTCTTCTTTCTTGATGAAATATTTGCCTTGTCTTACATTCCCACGGAACAAATAGAATTGTTTAAAAATGTAAATCCGACCAAGTCTTCCCTCTTTGTAAAACACTCCCAAGGCAAACGCTATCATGTCCCGAATGAGCTCTGAGGTGCTCCAGCCCACAGCGAGTGAGCGAGGGGACTGTGCAAGCATTTTGGGAAACTCTATGGCAATGTAATGGGTTGAACTGTGTTCCCCGCAGAAAGGATATGTTGGAATCCCCACCCCGGGCCCCCACAGTGTGACCTTACTTGAAGACAGGATCTTTGCAGATGATCAAGTTAAAATGAGGGCACGGGGTTGGGGGGGTGGGGGTTGGCTAATCCACCATGACTGGTATCCATATAAAAAGGGGAAATTTGGACACAGACACGCACAGAGGGAAGACGAAGTGAAGAGACACGGGAGGAGCAGGCCATCCGTCACAAGCCAAGGAGAGATCTGGAACAGATCCTTCCCTCTCGCTCAGCCCTCAGGAGGACCAGCCCTGCCAAAGCCTTGATTTTGGACTTGTAGCCTCCAGAACTATGAGATAATAAATTTCTGTCATTTAAGACACCCAATCTCTGGTTCTTCATTACGGCAGCTCTAGCAAATGAATACAAGCACTATTTACTAAAGCTGATCCCACACCTGGGTAAGCTGCCACGAGTGCGTGTGTATGCTCACCAACAGACATGGGCTAGAGTGTTCACGGCAGAACCATTTACAATAGCCAAAACCTGAAGAGAGCCCGAGCACCCATAAACAAGTGAATGGGTAGATAAATAATAAATTGTGATTCATGGAATGCTCTAGTGATCAGTCTACAATCTACAATGACGCAGAGCAGTATAAACTTCCCAAACGTAATGATAAGTGAATGAAGTTGGTCATGATAGAGAACATCCTGTTTGCTACCTTTTATGTCCCATTTGCACGTTAGAAGTTGAGAGGTAGAGACTAGAAGGGATTCCAGGGGGCTACCAGACTTAGTTTCTAGATCTGGGGGCCAGTTAAATGGGCATGCTCAGTTTGTGAGTGAGTATCACATACTTAGGATTTGTGCACTTTTTGGTGTTTGTCATGCTTCAATGAAAAGATTTTTAAAAAGGGGAAATGAGGCAGGGAAAGAAAAAATCCAGCCCCTCCACCAAAAAAGTAGGAGTATAGAGGAAAAAGGATTGGCAAAATGTTGCTATCTATTGAGCTGGGTGAAGATACATACAGTTCCTTATATAGTTCTCTTTATTTCTAAGTCTGAACATTTCTCTCTCTCTCTCTCTCTCTCCCCCCGCCCCCCGCCCACCATGGTCTCTTGTAGCCCAAACCACTACAATTTAACTCCTCACCTGGCTTCTAAGGTCCCTTGTACTGAGGCCTTTGTTAGTCTTTCTGACCACGGCTTCCTACCTTGGGGCCTTTACACGTGCTGTTCACTCTGCCAGGCAGTTCTAGTTCTTACACTCCTGCCTGGGCCCTCCTTGTCACTCAGGTCCTAGCACAAAGTCATCTCTTTAGAGATGCCCTCCTTGACCACCTACCTAATCCAAACCAGCCCGCCACGACACCTCCCTCTGACACCTCTATTTCGCCTCCTTCATAAGACTTATCACTACCAAAAGGTATCTCTCTCTGTTTACTCTTCAGTGGTGTGTCTCCCTCATGGTACGTCAGCTCCACGACAGCGTGATCAAGACTGTTTGGTCACCGCTGTAATCTCAGCATGTAGAACAGCATCTGGCCCCCAAAAAGTGTTCCACATATATTTATCGAATGAACTAAGACTGATGCGTCATAATTAGCAACTTTTATGTAGAGTTGCAAGTTATATTAATTACAGTTACAATATTTGCTTTCTTCTGGGGAATTGGTGTGAGAGATGACACATGCCCCTCAATCCCTGTCAATGCTATTAATTATTCCAGAAACCGATTTAATGTCCCAGGAAGTGTACCACTGGGGGGAATATAAGCAACGTGACACAAAGAGCTCGGTTCTCTAATACATGAAGAGCAATTCAAAATCAATAAGAAAAAAACCTAATGACCCAAGAGTAAACTGGCCAACAGATAGATCTGGCAACCGTCCAGCAAAGGAAATACAAACAGCTCTGAATGAAAAAATGTTCAGATTCACTCACAATAAGAAAAACACAGCTATAACCGCACTGAGATAATATTTTTACCTATCAGATCGACAAAGATAACATGCCATGTTAGAGTGAGTGGGGAAACACCCTTGCACATTGCCGGTGACAGGCTAATTTGGTGACGTCTATCAAAATTACAAATACACACACCTTCTGACTCAGCCATTCCACTCCTAGGAATTTATCTTAGGGATATACCTACACTTGCATGAAATAACCTCTCTAGAAGGAGACTCCCAGCAGCAAGCAGTGTTTTAGCGGAAGAGTGAAAACAAGCTGAGTGTGTGGCAGGAGAGGGCAGGAGAGGGCATTCGGGTGGATCTTCATGATGGGATATTATGTAGTCATGAAAAACAAGGATGCTCTTTGTGTCCCCATATGGAACAACCTCCAAGATGGCCTGTTGAATGGAAAGCTCAAGAGGCAGAACAATAGGATGATGTGCTACTGTTTGTGTTTTGAAAAAATTCTACCTAAGTATCTGCTTGGGTATGTATGGATTAGACCTCGAAAACCACACCAGAAACTGGCAACACCATAAGCCCTCCATACCTCTTGAATTTTGAACATTTACCTAGTCCAAACAAAGAAATAAATATCCAGGTGTTCCACACCCACCCACCCAGGTGAACAGTTACTTCTGCCCAGCATCCCTGCTTTTTCAACCACTGGTCTTGTGACATTTCAAGGCGGTTCCATGTCTACCTGCAAAGTCCTCTGCTTTCTCCACGTGCTTTGGAAAGTGGACAGAATACCCGACGCTCCTGGCCTCTCGCTCCTCTCAGTCTTGCTGTTAGTCATCTAAGAATGCAGCTTAAGGGGTTTAAAGCCCTAAGCCTCTATCCTGGAAAACCATGTCCAATCTGACTTCCCCTTCACGACCCCTACCCACCCGCCAATACAACTTGTATGGCCACCTCCCATCCACACGTGGACCAATCCTGAAGTGAGTGAAGCTTGGGTTTCAGGACAACCCCTCACCACTTACAAGGGACCCTTCAAAGACTCCATGACTAATTTGGTCTCATAATTTTGTTTTCTTTTTCTCTAAAAGGCCCTGCAAATTGTATAAACCTCAGGCCCCACAAAACTACCTGCCTTGCTTCATGCTGCATATCTCACAATGCATTGCCTTTGCTTACATATATTTTTCCTCTGCTGAATAAAATTCTAAAAGGCAGAGGCCAAGTCTCATTCTTCTTGCATCGCTAACACTTATTAGGGCCTGGTGAGCCCCATTCGACGCCCACTGAATCAAGTAAGACCAGAAATAAAGTCTCATTACTAATATTTTTCTGATTTCCTATAACCCTTAGCTTGTTGATTAAAATATTTGTTAATGCCTATCTTCTCTGAGCTTGACATTCAGTGAAAATTACCCTTTCTTCCCAAAAGCCTAAAAGACAGGTGTCTGCAGATTTCTTTCTAAATCAGCAGGGAATGGAAAAGGACGGAAATGATGAATCCCAATTTGCAGTGGGGTCTCATGGCGAGGAGTCCAAATAAAAACTTAACCACAGTCCTATCCACCATTACTCAGATGGGAGATTTGGGGGTCAGCCTTGGTTCCCTCCTCCCCTTTCTCTCTCTCACCCATTTAATCCATCTGCAAGTCTCACCCGAAAAGTTCCAAGCTTTTTTGTACCCTGAAATCTTTGGTGTCTCACAATATCTACTGCGCCGTCTCAGAATTTAGAAATGCATAAAATAAAATATATAGGATTGCAAGTGAAATCAATTATATTGAAATATAGCCATCAAATGTATTTTGAATTGTGATAATAGTAATCTATGGGCTTTAATTAGTGCATTATTATTTAAGATCAAGCAATAGGTCTGATGACTACTGTAACCTCAAAGCAATGATGAGTGAAAATGATATTTTGAGAGGCCCGCAACAACTCTATAGAATATGGAGAGAGCTGTGCATTCTATTAATGACAAGGTCCAAGTGCCGCTGATGGTCTGTTGCCTGTACTCATGATGGAAGGAAATACATTGTTTTTTGGTTAAAGGACAGTAATAATTGAGATGTAATTGTTTTCCCATCCGAGTTCATGGGCCCCCCTGAGTTCTGTCCACAGATCCCTCGAGGGGTGGTCTGTGAAACCCGGGCTCTTGTTCTAAAATATTAATTGAACCAGAAAGCCTCCACGGGGTTTCATCATAGTGTCACACACTCCGACTCCCTGTGTGGCCCTGCATGACCCCTGCTTGCTGCTCCTTCCTCACCGCCCACGACCCTCTCACTCTCTAACTCTGCTCCAGCCATACTGGTCTCCTTCCTGTGACTAAACCCAGGAAGAAGTCTCCGCTCAGGGCCTTTGCATGTGTTGTTGCTTTGCACCTTCCTCGCCTTCTGGATCTACACATGACCAGCCCCTCCCCATCACTCAAATCCCTATCAGATGCCCCCTCCTCAGACAGGCCTCCCCTGGCCACCCACTCTGACAAGGAACCTTCCGCTTCCTAGTCCATCATGTTCTTTTCCTTCCTTCATAGCAATTGTTGGCTTCCCATCTGTCTCCCCAACAAGAGTGGGTGCCAGCTCCATGAGGGCACAGACTAGTATGCCTTATTCTTCACCGTATCCCCTACGTAGAAAGGTGCCTGGATATGGGGGTTGTGTAC